ACAACCAACTTATAAAAAGAAATGAGGTCAGGTGTTTACATTGAAATATCCATAAACAGACCCCAGTTTGTAAAGGGCTTGTTGGTTAAAGCCAAGTTAAAAAAGATTCATAATTCTATCTCTGCTTCTGACACTCAATAAATACTTTATTAGCAATTAGGACTTCCCTAATCCAAGCAATCCTTGGTAGTGAGGGACCGCCCTGGCCACTGCCCTTTTGTGGACTACTAAAGTCCTTAATCCTCTTGTGGTCTCTCAGCTACGGAGGGTCTGTCAGGTCTATCTTCTTTTAGTTCCTAATACTGTGTCCTCCTTTCACAAGTCTATGATAGCTTCACGATCTCCTGCTGTGCCTCCTTTTGATTTTCATTAGGAATTGTCCCAGTGGAAATATTCACAGACTAATAGCAACCTAGAGTTCCTCCTTCAATAGTGACCAAAGCACATGACTCAGAGGCAGATGGAAACCTCAAGACATGCGTGGACTGTGTGATATCACACAGTATCATCCCAGATAGAGGGGGCTTTCAATCTCCAAAATACCTTCTTGCCCCAGCTAGCAATCAGCTTCTCCTTGAACTCTCACAACATTATTTCTCCTTATTTCCACCCAGGCTGTTCTCAAAGCCACACATTGTGTCTTCCTTCTCTAGGCTCAGCCACTTCTCTAGCATTTCTCCAGTCTCTTCTCCAATCTCAGGTAAACCAGACTCTCACTGCTACCTCAACATCTTCTCCTCTTTGTGACCACCCTTTTGTTACCGCTGTCTCTTGGGCACCTTGTTGGGGGAAAAGGGGCCTTCATGAAGGCTCAGGAAACAAATGTTGCCTTCTACTGGCCTCCTCATGAGTAGAAACCACAGCAGGGTTGGAGGGCTACTAGAAATGATGGCAGCCTGGCCATTTTGATTCCAGTTAAAATTGGAGGGTGTCCCAGCTACACAAAGCTGTCCATGGAGCATGTCAAATTTAAACCACTGAAATAGTTCCATGTCAGAGCAGGATGATTATAAAGAAAAGGAAAAAGACAACGTTGTATGGGGCAGAGCTTGTAATTGCCAGTGTGGAAAGGTGCCTCCCTGTCTTCAGAAGGACTAGCTGAAGTTCCCATGAAAATCCAATTTAAATAGGGTGGGTAGAGAAGCAGTATTTCTGGAAGAGTAATTATGGTGTACTGCTGGCTTCCCTAACCTGACATTACAGGACAGCGTAGCTCTCATTTGAGGTTTGATGATGTTTAATTAAAGCCGGGCATTTAAATTTAGTCCTTTCAGAAGTGAATAGGCCTGGCAGTGATGGTTTAAAATCTTAAACGTCTTTAAAAGAAATGATTGCCATGTGTATGGATAAAGAGAGGGAAGAGTGGATAGAGAGGAAGGACATGTTGGGTCCCTTGTCCATTCCCCTGTTAGTACTGGGTTGTTCTCTACAATACATTTACTAATATTTGCCCCCACTCCATTTAAAGAAACTAGGGGAAGCATGAGATTGTGGGGTAGTGTGGGGAAAACAACTACATCAATTGAAGATGAAGCTTGGTAAGTTCTTGACATATGGCATAGTTGCTTGCAATAACAGGGGATTGGACATCATAATGCAGGAGGACTCTTCCAGCTCTGTAACGGCCGTCCAACACCTTGACAGATGAAAGGAGCCGTGACAAAGTCAGTCCGTCAGCGGTGCTTGGTAGTGATGTGGGAGAAGAGGCCGATGTGTAAGCAGCAAACCTTCCCACGCCGGCTACGGGTTCACTTGTCAGATGGAGGATCGCCTGCCGCCTGGGCTTTCTGATGGCTCTCCATGGTGACTGCACCAGCCGCGACTGAGCAGTTGTGGGCAGGGTTCTCCCAGTTGGCAGTGGAAATGCTGAATTTCTGAGACCTCGCTTGACCTTGTCACTATATCGAAGCTTTGGCCTCTCTCTACATTCTGGGCAGTTCTTGAGTTGGCCACAGAGCACAGCCTTCATATTATACCGGTATGAAATCAAAAGAGGAAGAGGGTCCAGTAGTTGAGGATGCTTTTGATCGTTCCTTAAATAGAGTCGTGCCCGATAAAGCCCTTGTGCAAGCAGTCATAAATTCAGTTGACTTCAGCGAGAGTTGGGCCTGCTCATATTTTGGAAAGCAACTTAATCTGAACTGTGAATGTCAGCAGGTTTCCCGGCCAGGATTTGTGTTGGAACAGTTTTTTTTCTCTTTTGGAATCACACCCCCAGAGTTTCATGTGCCAAATTTCTGGGTTGAACAAACTCAGTGGGCTCCCTCAGGATCCTTTGAGCACTCTTGCCTGGCTTTAGTGGAAGCCCGGTCGCTCCAGGAACCCCGGAGAATCCTTTATGAACAAAAGGCAGGAGACGTGGTGTCTCAGTATATGCACAGGACTGGAAAGCACCACGTTCTAGTCTGCCAAGGCTCACGTGGAGGACCCCGTGGGTAACAAAGACCCAAAAGGAGCGGCAAAAGAAGCAGATGTTTCAGATACTTCAAATGCTGCGCTGTTCTCACTTTGTGTGATTTGCCCTTTCTGTAAGTCCTTTCAGATCCATGCTTCTTTGTGAGGAAAATAATTTTTTGCAAAAGGAATGAGGGGACTTTGAATAGATGTGAAATGTAATTAGCTTTGGGACTGAAATAAGTGATGTCCCTTGCAGAGAAGGTAGAACAAGACCCAGGGAGTCATCAGTTCTGTCCCTGGTCCTGTTGCTAGTTGGTTGTGTGGCAGTCCCTGGAGGTCCAGGTCTAGCCGTACCGCTCTTCCCCTTCCCACTCCTTTGGAGTTCATTCCCTCCATTGCTCAGCCTCTTTTTATGCAGTCCCACAATGTTTCTCCACTTCCTGGCTACACTGCTGTTTATAAACTGTCTGCATATCATCTCGCAGATCTCGCTGCATTTCAGATACCCACATTTCTCCATTGTGCAATCTGTGACCAACAGGCTTTTAAAAAGTCATTTTTTTTATTTAGGTGCTGGAATAAAACATTAGACAGCGGATTTGAACAGGACAATAGCCCTAAGCTGCTTAGGAGTCTCATTTGCATAGAAATCGATGGGAGTTAGCACCTAAATATGAATGAGATGCCTAAGTACCTTTGAGAATCTGGGCCGAAGAGCCTCCATCAGTGATTCTCCACTCTGGGGTGCCATGAGATCCTTTTAAGGTGTCTTTTAGAGCACCGTCATAGACTTTCAAGAAGGTATTCTGAAGTATAAATACAGATCTCTCAAAATATACAGTAGTAGGAAATGCATTGCTTTTATAAGATGAATAGGAATGCTCCCATGGGGAATCTTTGTCTGAAATCCAAGCATGTGGACATCTATCGTTTCAAACAAATGCTAGTAGATGAACAACCTCCCACACAGGAGACCACCTTCTGGGAACTCCCTCCCATCTCACCAACTCTTTGGTCATCTTGTAACCATTTTGAAGGCCATGCTCATTTTCTTGTACAAGGGAAATAGAGGTTCTTCTCAGTGAATCAGATGAAGTAACTAGGGTGAATCCCTCCCCCACCTCCCACATACACCCCCAGGCCTCTCCTTTGCTTGGGTCTTCTATATTTCACTGTGCTTTTGTTTTGGAAGGGCCTGTGAAAAGCTGCTTGGGTGGCAACAGCTCTTGTGCCGCCGTGCCAATGTGCCATTTTATGTCAGCGGAGGACTCGATCCAGAATCCTTAGGTCAGATGCTTTTTTCATGCGGGAGGGCTGATACATGAGGGAGGAGCTGACTTGGAGGGATTTCCTTACATCAACCTGCAGCTGGATCCACACCTGCTTGCGGAAAGCTGATAAGAACAAAGACAACAAGATGAGCTTTAAAGAGCTCAAGAACTTCATGAAGGAAGTCAACATCCAAGTCGATGACAGCTATGCCAAGGAGATCTTTCAGGTAAGGGGAATTTGCAAGCTAATGAGCAACGAGCTGGCTTGAGGTCACCATCTCCCATGTTTTGCACCATTTGGCTGAGGGAGGGTGAACTCTCAGCATCCTGACATGTCCTGAGGACTATGCCTGTGACACGGGATCTGCAAAACCACTTACTTTTAGCTTGGTTTTGCAGCCAAGTCAGTAGACGGCCAAATTCACTTTGGCTCTGAAAGAAATGGAGTTAAACCAACAGAGAGTGTGCATACACATCACAGCGGGGGCACGGTATGAGAACAATTCTGTCCTTCTCATTGTGTTGGGGAGCTTAGCGGAAGCAGAAAAGGATTAGACATTTGTGTGCATCATGAAAGATAATGGATAATGCCAGTAAGCTGGTGTCCTTGGCCAAAAGTAGGTCAGGATTTCAGAGTGTAATGGTTGATTCCCTTCTCGAATAACTTCTTCTACAGCTGCCCGCTGTGATGCAGAGGAGGAAGATGCCAAGTTGGTTCTGGAAAGTAAAAGAGCTGTACAAGTTGGGAGAAAGTATGCATTAAAAATAAAAACAAAACCCATGGGCTGCTGAAGTGACTACAGGCACATCTCTAGGGTCTGTGCCTCTATTGTCTCAAGTTTGAGCGTGCTGACAGAGGCAGTGGGGGCTAATGGGGGTAACAGGAAATCCTCAGGTATGGAGTTAGTGTTTCTGAAATCCAGTCTTCTGCTTGCATGAGATAAAGACAACTGGATAATTTCTAGGCTCTGCTAAATGGAAGTGGGCAATTCCACACACTGCTTTTGCCCCCTTCAGACTGCTACTGAATGGTAAAAGCAGTCAGGAAAACAAACTCCCACGCATCTTTCTGCTGCTGCTGCAAGTGGATGGATGGGAACCTCGGAGGGCACGAGTTCAGGGCCTCGTGATACTTCTAAGCCAGGAAAAACACAACAGTTTTGGATGAGGCTTTCCTTATAACTGCAATTAATGTTTTACAGGGCACCTTGCATCTGGAACGGCATTAAACCGTATTTATGTATGAGGGCGAGATTCTGTTCCAGCTGTTAGGTGCACAGGACTTAGGCACCTACATGCCATTCAGCTCCAGCCTGCTCTTGGCCCTGATAAAAAGTTAATTGCTGAAGGCGGGTGGGTCCTGCTCCTCCTCACTGCTTGTGTGTGGGTCACTCTTAAGGGTCAGACGATGGCGTGTCACAAATGTAGCTGCATTCGTGGTTTTGGGGGACCTGAAGAAGATGGAATAGAATCACACTTAGGCATCTACATCCACTTAGATGCCCTGTTGGTGGAATAGAAAGTAGCTTTATGTACATACAAGCCCCTGAAATGTAGGTGGATAGTGGTGATCCAGTGGCATCCAAGTACACGTTGCAACACTCAGGGCTGGGGAGGGGACCTTTTTGGCCAAAGACTGCATGGGACAGGGACCTTGTTTCTGTTCTGCAATTTTTAGCAAAATTGTGGCATCCTGGCCCACATCTGGGGTTCCAGGGTGGGGGCAGTGATGATAATACTGGTGATAAATAATGATATTTGTAGGCATTTCCATGGTAGAAGATGGCCTTGTGCTTGGCCAGCGAGACCCAATGATCAAGTCCTTCTCATGAAGCAGCAAATAACGGTTTCCAATTATTTTGTGTTCCACGATTTGTAGCCCTGGCGCAGATTACGGCTGACATATGTCATAAGGAAAGGACGTTTTCACCTCTTCTCCTCTCTACGTTTACAGCAGTGTGACAAGTCTAACACAGAAGCCTTGGAAGATGACGAGATAGAGTCATTTTACAAGATCTTGACTGAGAGGAAGGAGATTGATAAGATTTTCTCAAAGTACGCCAGTGAGGAAAGGACCATGTCTTGTGACCGCCTGGTGGAGTTTCTCCAAGAAGAGCAGCAGAAAGAAGATGCTGGCCCTGAGACTGCACTTTCCTTGATTGAGAGATATGAGCCCAGTGAAGCAGGTCAGTTAGCATCATTGGTTGTTCTTGAGTTCATGCGACTGGGGCCAAGCCAGTTGCTGGGCTTGTGTCGAGGAAGAAGGAATTTGTCCCCTCTACTGGCAAGGTCTGCTCTTTCGCATCGTCCTCTGTAGCTGGGAAGTGGTGCTCTTCCTAAATGTCTATAAACCTAACTGGTTCCCTGCCATTGCAGCAGGTGTCCTTCTATCCCCATGCTGACCCTTCTCACCCATCACAGCCACAAAGCTGTGGATGCTATTTTAAGTAGAAATCTTTGCGGCTGTGACATGTGCAAAGGGTCAGAGTGAACAATCCTGTGTACCCTTTTGGATGAATAGCTACCTTCAGGTGCAGAGAATTGGACCTGAGGGCCTGGGGAGCCCCTGGCTTGCTTTGGGGACATCTGAACTGTTTTGCTGCTGTTCCTTCCCGTGGGCTGGTGTATCTTTCTATTGTCGTGGCCATCTCTCAAGGGCCAGTGTTGCAAGGGATTGTTAGCAGCAGGGCTGGGTATACAGGAAAGTCTTGGAGGCTTGATTATTTCTTGTCTCCGTTTGTCCTTCAGGCAGCAGGCAAGTGATTGATGTGCAGTGTTTTTCAGGGCACTGTAATCCCCAATGGGAGGAGATTGTTTAATGCCCATCATGTAGCTTGTAGCACTTGTGTGTCACTTTACACCGGAGGATCTCAACGCACTTTGAAGGGAGCAGTGTGTGTTCCCATTTCCATTTTCTAGAAAGGGAAGCCGAGCCCAACATTTTCATACCTGAGCACACTTAAAACACCCTTGTGTGCCTAGAAGGAGTTGGACACTCACATCGGTTCTCAGGCAAGCTGTCAAATGACTTCCTTTTCAAAAGAACAAATGCAGAACTGTTTTAGGCAGGGATGGGCCTGCCTTGAGCCGGGGGATGAACAAGATCACCTCTTGAGGCCCTTCCAGCTCTGCTTCCCTATGATTGATCTCTGCTTGGAAATGAAATGAGTATCTACACTGTAGTATGAAAAGTTCAAGGAGACCCAACTTTGTGGCCTCTTTGTTGTATTTTGATGGGTCTGATCGGTCCCTAGTTGAGCTCCAGAAGGGACAACATCTTGTCAGTATGATTTTGAGATTGGCCTGGGGACCTGTTTGCTTCCTTATCAAGCTCCACTGTGCTCATCTTGGTTTTGCTCTTTGCAAATCGCATTTCACTTGACTAACACGTTAGGGCTATTTACAGGTAATAGTAGGTCAGGTGGACGTCTGTGAATTGTGAGGGTGGGATGAAGCAAGATGTTTACTTTGGGTCCCAAAAGCATTGTCAGGTAGAGGTAAGTACTAACACCCCCAGAGGTACAGCTTTGGCTGTTGCCTACTTTGATTCTTGTGGCCAAATCCTGCCTTTAGCTGCAGCTCACTGAAGCCAGCAAATATTTGCGTACAGAGTTATTCATTCCTTCACATTTAGGGTACACAGCTCTTTCTCTCGCAGAACTGGGACGCTGGATTTAACTATTGATTTATGCCTTTATCTGACAGCCAAGAAGCAAATGACAATGACCAAAGACGGTTTCCTGATGTACCTACTGTCTTCTGATGGGGACATATTCAACTCCAGTCATGGTAAAGTGTACCAGGACATGACCCATCCACTGAATCACTACTTGGTGTCATCTTCACACAACACCTATCTAATGGAGGACCAGCTGAGAGGGCCAAGCAGCACAGAGGCCTATATCAGGTAAGGAGGACGAGATCTCTCAGTATACAGTGCTACAGTATAGGATGGGCAGGCACGATCCCAGACAGCATGGTCAGTGCTATCTCTGGGAAATGGCAGGTCTAACCTGACCGGTGATTGTTATGACAATGGGCGTTGGACAGAGGTTGGTGTGACCTCTGTCAACTAGCAGAATTTTATTCGGTTGTGAACTGGTTAGATGGCAAAAAATGTCCCTGTTGTCAAGCTGGTGGCTCCTACACTCTCTGCTCCTTATCTACCTCTTCCTGGAGCTTGGAGGGTGTCATATAGTATTTAGCTCAGTAAGTTCCTCTCATCAGATGCTTGCACACATTTTGCAAGAACATTAACTTGGTTTTCATTATGGCCAAATCAGTGGCTCTCAGAAGCATTGATAGGGGATGGATGACATTAGGGATGTTGGGAATTATTACAAATGCAGCCGACTGGAGACAAAAGTCTGCAGAGAAAAGTGGCACCGTCAGCTTCAAAGGCCCGTGCTAACAAATGTGTAGAATAGAGCCTACATTTGAAGGCAGGAAAGCGCTGAATCAGCCAAGAGGAGGATTGAAATTTGTGGTCAGGAGCTTCTGAGTCCGGGTATGTGACCTGTTGGGCAAACTTTCTAAGAGATGCGCAGGGATTTAGCCACACAGCGCTCATTCAATGACAGCACAGTTCACATTACTGTGTCCCTGGACGCGGCTTTGAGTATTCTTCGCAAACTCCTTCTCAAATCTGCAGGAGGAAAACGTGTGATCCATGCCGCTCTGACGGTGACAGCCTCTCAGGGACACTGATCTACTCTCTTTAGTTCCCCTTCAGGCTTTTCCAAGCTATTCTTCCCATTTTGGAGCTTCCTCAGCCTTCCTTTTCTTCAGTTGCCTTGTGCTTTATAGACCCCTTTGGTCCTTGATAGCCATCCTTTTCCTCTTTGTGCACTGCTAATCTCGCTTATCAGTTCCCATGAGCTCCCCTCCTTTTCTTTGCTTCCTGCGCTCATTCTGTGCTTATCCAAGCTACCCTTCAGCCTCCAGCATATCTTGAACTGCCCGGTCCTATTCTGAAGGGAGGTCGGCAAAGAAAGACCCATGTGCATCCATTTTCTGTTTCCAGAGCCCTGACCAAAGGCTGCCGCTGCGTGGAGTTGGATTGCTGGGATGGCCCCAACTCTGAGCCTATAATTTATCATGGCTACACACTCACCTCCAAGATCCTCTTCAGCGATGTCATAAAGGCCATCAAGAACTATGCTTTCAAAGTAAGGACAATGGAGCTGGGATATCCCGTTCATTCCTTTTGTAATATTGAGGGAGGAAAAATTTGCTTAGGTGTTCAGTTCGTGTTTAGCATGGCTTCATCAGACGACGTGTCCTTACATTGGGTGCCTTTGAATCACAGATATGAGATACTCCCTCTCGTCTCCAGGTCAGGGTTAAAAGACTGAGATTAGCAGTCAGACTTGGCTGTCTTACATAGTAGTCCTGCACTGGCAACTTTTATGTCAAATGTTTGGTCTGCCTGAACTCATTAGGACTTAGACTTTCTTCTTCACTTTCCTTGACATTAGAGCCAATATCCATCTCTCTGAAGGTCTAGGGGAAACAGTCAGACTTCCCACCTGGGAAGGAAATATCGAGGAGGTTTCACAGTGAAGGAAGTGGGCACTTCTTTGGTATCTTAATGCTTGCTAGATGGTCACAGCTGAGGAACCAAGGCACAGAGAGGATAAGGGCTTTTTTCCTGAGCTCACACTGGGAGTTTGTGCATAGGCTGCTGAGTTGGGAACTGAATCCTCGTCTTCTGAGTCTCTTGCCAATGCCTTATCTACTAGATCACCTTGCCTGGGAACCTGTAAGACATGGCTACCAAAATATTGCAATAGCCGTGTTAGAGTATGCCTTTGAATTCTAATGCATTGTGGCGTTTACACACTGCTTTCCAATGTAAATGTGTCATTTGAAAACTCAGAGCCAGTTTTGTGCCACTGTGTTGCAAGGGATTGCGAATAGCCAAACTGATGCCGGTTGTTGATTTCCTACCATAGACCTCACCGTATCCAGTGATCATTTCCCTGGAGAATCACTGTAGCCTGGAGCAGCAGAAGAAGATGGCTGAGCACATGAAGGACATCCTACAAGACATGCTGCTGCTGGCACCAGTAGATGGAAACATATCAAACTTCCCCTCGCCGGAGGTGAGTGCCTCTTTGCCCTGCGTTCTCCCTCTGTCTACCTTCCTTGCAAGCCCCTGTAATATCGTTCTCCTTGGCAAGAAGAGCCTGTGAGACATCTCATTTCAAGGCAAGATCCGTGGAATTTAGGGACTTCCTTGTCTATTTACCGAGGCCCAATGATGTCTTCAGTCCTCTTAGCAGCTGTTTTCCTCCAGGCCCCCCCGAAGTCAGCTGAGTCTTTACTGGTCTGTTTTCCAGGTGCTTACACTACAGTTGATTAATGTGACCTTTAAAGGTCCAGCTTCTTCAGTGTGTTTGAGCTGCCCTCATTAATTATACGGCACAGGCAAAGAAGCTAGGCTGCTCGAGAAAAGTGGCTAGGAGTTCTCTCTATGCACTTGAATTGGCCACTGCTTGATGAGGAGGGAGATGACTGGCATTTTTAAGTACTGAGAAAAGAAAGCTTTGCTTGGCCTGGTGCCCCTTTTGATGCTCGGGAGCGCTGCTCTGCACCAAGACCTGTGTTTAGAGAGGAGAGAGAGCTGCAGCGCCAGGCGTGCTCAGGGTCAGTCTGTCCTAGGGACTAATGGGACAGCGGCTCAGGGCAAGGTAGAT